CACAAGCACAGGAAAGACGTCAGGTAGGGAAATCGTGCATTGAAGTTAAAGCAATATCAACTCTGACTCAGGCTGTAGCACAGGTGCCAGAAAGGTACGCAGGTGCCAGAAAGATACACCCAGGGTTGAAAGTTTTGAGGCACGGCGTGTATATGTATATGTGTGTAATTTGTGTATATATGTCTATATGTAAATGTATGTACATTATATATATATATATATGTCTGTATCTGTGTCTGCATTATATCTATATCTAGATATATATATATAGAGAGAGAGAGAGAGAACATGCATGTGAGTATGTGCGCAGATATATGTGCAGAGAATCACTCGCCGCACTCTTAGCTCAGACGCCAAGACTGGACGACTCTTTTTCTTCTTCGTGTGGATATGTAGCGCTGTCTGCGCCGTTCGGCGTGCAGGAAACTGGTCCTACAGCCGGCGCCGAGTGCGCATCACAGCACCACCCGGCGCACTCCGCCCCACCACGCGCCGGCTCAGAAAGAGCATGCCGTTCGTCATGGCCGGGTCCTTTCCATACCCTTTGGGTGAGCACCGCCTGGCCTGCGGTGTTATCAATGAACGCCGTCATGGCGCCGGGCAGGTGCGTGGAGAACGCCGCGATGGCCACCAGTCCGCCGAGCCAGGTCCACGAAGGAGCCCACAAAGTGGTGTGTTGGCACGTCGTCGGCAGCAACCGTGGAGTTGTGGCCCGATCGTCGCCAGTCCTCGCCCCTGCGGATCTTGATGTTCCCGAACTCGTCGATCTGTATGATGGCAAAGGACGCGGCCAGGAACACATCGCGTGGCGGCTGCTCCACCAACATGGCCCCGGGATCCAGGGTAGCGCCGTGGCCTGTTCCTTGGCCCAACGACTCTACCCAACGTGACCTCGTCGATGAGTTCTTGGAGCAACTGCTCGCTGGCGCGCCGCCATCTTCTTCCTCGCATAGACCGGCGACTCCGTGGACGCCGGCTGTTTGGACCGGTCGTCGGTGCGCTTTTTCCAGCCGGGCCCTGGACGTAGGGCGCCGACCATGTGGAAGCCGTTGGTGAGGTCGTCGGTCAGGTCAGGTCCGGGTAGTTGAGGCGCCGCAGCAGGTTGAGGAGCACCAGCACCTGGGTCACCGCCGGTTTGTCCGGCGTCGAGTAGGTGGCCTGTAATGCAGGCGGGCGCTGTGACATCCATGCCGCCGTCTCCTCAACCTGACCTTGCGGATGTCGGAGCGGATCCTGGTCGCCAACGGCGTCGCAGCCCCGGCGTGCGGGGTGGGGGAGGGTGGCTGGACGGGACCAGTGTCCTCGTCGATCCATGTCCCGAGCTGCCCCATGACGGAGGGACGCCACCCAGTCCAAGGGAGGTCCTTGGGTGACCCGCCGAGCCTAGCCTCCGCCGGCCACCAGCAGCAGCAGGGCTGGTGCCGGAAATCCGCCCACATGTGATGGAGCTGCTTTCCCGTCCTCGCCGCCGATGTGGCCATCGCCTCCTTGATGTAATTAATGCCATGGCGCGAACTGGCGTCGGTCGGCCATCCAGCGCTGCTGGGCGTCGGTCGGTATCTTTCCCCGACAACCTTTGGCGCCGGTCCGCCGTTCTCGTTGGGCGCACCACCCCACCAGCATGCGCCGCTCCCGGCTGTGCTTAAAGGGAGGTAACCGCGGGGCAACTGGACCTCCTCCACCGTCCATGGCGTGACCCCACCCCAGCGCGGGGGTCCTTTAAGCCTCATTGGCAGCGCTCGTCTCGTGTGGCCTGCCTCGCCGAGCCCGCCGTCGCAGGCGCACACCGCGACGTGGGCATTGCTGCAGGGGCCGCCGAAGCAGCGCCGAGGAACTCACTGGCCGATGTAGGCTGGGCCGTGGCAGGGGCCGCCGTCATGCTCTTGCGCTCTGCCCACATGACCAAAGGCCTCGGCCTGCATCACCGTCGGGCGGGTGGATGGCTCCCTACCCGAAGCAGCCAAGAGCGTCGTAGATGGGATCAGCGCGCCGGACGGGGCCTTGGCTGTCACATCCTCGCCGCTCGTCGCGGGCTCCACTGCCCTAGGCGCCGGCCTCGTCATGCCTCGTCGAGGCGCCCTGCTGGACATTGAGCGCCGCAAAGATCTCATGAAAATTGGGAGGACGCCGCCCAGACACTGATTTGGCGGGCGTAGCAAGGCCCGACGCCGCCACTGACATAGAGATCGCCGCCTCAAAGGGGTCCGCTCGAGAAGCCAGACGCGGCGTGGCCTTAGCCTTGGTCGCCGCACGCACAAAGAAGTCAGCGGGCGTGTCTGCGCCGGCATGGGTGGCTGGCGTTTGCGGCCCGCTTCATGGGTGGCGGTGCCACCGCCGATGCCTTCGGAGATGTAGGATAGCGGCCCCTCGTCGAGCTCGTCGGCGGGGTCAAGCCACCCGCCGATGCAGCATCGGATGGTGGACCACGAGGTGGCAGGCGTCGAATGTCATCAAGGTCCGTCGGCTCTTCTTCCGGATCTCGCCGAGCCCGCCGGTGCCACCATCCCCCGATGTCATCACTGTTGGCTGCGTCGTCGTCTCAGCCTCTCCATCGCCGGCAGCCACCATCATGGGGACAAAGGTCTGTACCTCGTCCGCCGAAGCCTCGGTACGTCCCTCCATGACTGTATTGTTCGCCGCGGCCGCATCGTTGAGATCTGCCACTTGGTCCGCCGAGAGCAGTCCCACGACCGGCGCGTATCCCATGCGCCGGGCCGCCGCGAGGGCTGCCACCAGCTGCTGTGCCACCGCCGAGGCGTCGTTGAAGGCCATGACCGTCGAGGCACAAGGGATACTAGGAGAAAAGCTTAAGACGTCGAAGACGCGTCGAGCCAGAGTGCTAGGGCAGCTATGCCGTTCGCGATTGTTACTGCGCGCACAAATGTGCTGCACCACACATAAACTCACACACACACACACCTGCATACATACATTCATACTTACATACTTACATACATACATACATACGTACATACGTACATACGTACATACGTACATACGTACATACATGTGCGTGTGTGCATGTTTGTCTGTGTGTGTGTGTGTGTATGCATGTATACATACATATGTATGTTATGAGAGTGCATACATATATATATATATATAATAAAATTATATATATATATATATATTGCAATCAGCGTGTTCGGCTAGCTATCCCATCCAATAGGCCCAAGAACACCGGCAGGACTGAGGATACTCTGCCACCGAAACCCGCTTCTCATGGCCGGTGCACCACAAAATGCCCTCATCGATCCACACCAAACCACGCGAACACCGTTGCAAACTAAAGTACATCCAGCCAACGCAGCAGAGTCACGGCGTGCCCGCCGCGGAAAAATTTTGCCCTGAAGTTTGCGGTGCTAGCAGCGCCAGAAGCAAGCAAGACCTGCATCGATATCTTGCTTTCCCGGTGTACGATCATGAGTTGATCAATCACGAGGCATGAACCGACAACTTCTTCCTGCTGATTCCCCGAAAGGCCCATCGCCCCAAGGGTTTGCGGACGTTTTTGTGCAAAGCAATTCTCCCATACGAGCATAACAATCTGAGCACAAGCGCCAGCGCCAGGAGGATCCCACGGACCGCGTCACGCGAACGCGTTCCGTGGGATCCCCCTCGCCGGCGACTTGTGAGCGAAGAGTCTGAGATAGTCTGAGGCTCTGATGGATCTGAGGCCGGGGCTTCTCCAAGGACTTCATTTGCGAGGCGGTCACGGGCGGACGCTGGAGCACGTGGCTGCGCAGGTCCCGGCGGTCCCGGTAGATCTTGGAATATCTTGGAGTCTCTGCTCAGCAAGGACTGTGCACAGATGTAAGCACACGCAAGCAATAAGCACACATGCTTTCTGCGCCTGGCCTCTTAAGGTGGCTTCTGCGCTTTCTGCAAAGCGCTCCAAGGCCTTCCAGGCTTCCAGGGCAGCTTTCTGTCCCCGATTGTCTCCAGCTATGTCAGCGTGTGACTTCCGCCTCGTAGTCGTCTTCCAGGTCCTGCGCTGCTCTCTTCAAAATGCACGATTCTAGATGCTCCTGACCAAGTCCGTGGTTTCTCTGCCCACTGAAGCAGAAAAAGCGAGACCATGGGCACGAGGTGCGGCTTAATATGGATGGCCTCTAGCTTGCTCGAAATTCTGCGGTTTCTGCACATTCGGACATAACATACATAACAAGCTTGTGCTACTTAGTTGGTTCGAGCGCACTGTTGAAGCGGAGCCCTCACTCAACCGACAGGACTACATAGACGTGGAGCTTACGGGCGTGCATTGTTTCCTCCTGCCTGGCAAAGACGAACCTACGGCATTGGGTGCAAGTGCGCACTTCGGGTTGAGGCGGTTGGGGTTCTTGCTTGACTCCCACATCGTTTGGTGTTAGGATTTGGCTGCGCTGCTGACACTTGCCAGCGGCTTGATGTGCAGCATGTCGGGATAATGCAGCAATGCAGGGCTGCGAGGACAAATGAAGTCGTCTCCTGAACATGTGCAAACAACTCGTGAATGAGCCTGGGCTACATGAAACAAGGTCAAGAAGGTCTGTATTACAAAGCTATAGCAACTAAACTACCAGCTGGGCTTGCAAGTACAGTTGCTGAATGATGTTTGGATCAAACGTCGTTGGATTCTTTTGCAGCCGGCTTGGCGTTCGGGTTCTGGTTTATTCAGAATGGGCACATGAAACCGAGATTCCATGGCATGAGCTACCGAGGGTTCACCCATCCCCCCGCCCCCCTGACCTGAATGTGACCTGAACATCCCTAAGGCGGGCAGAGAAGCGCCCGGCCCAATAGGTTTTCTGCGCAAGATACACCGCTTCTTGGGGCGGTGCCTTGGCAGCTTGAGCTTCATGCCCCTCATCGGCATCGTCCTGCGAACAGCAAGCTCTTATTCACATTGCTGGGAAGTCTCCCAGGAACTGAGTCTCAACCAGATTCTGACACGGACTTGTAGGCCAATGCTGGACAGAGCTGGGCCGAAGTAACATGCAGATGCCAGCTTGGTGTACACGTCAATTATCGGGCCAGCGGCAGCAGCTGACTTGCGGCCAAAAGTATTGCCCCTCCTCCGGCGTTTGCCCGAAGTGAAAGACTGCCGCGCCACTTGGCAATGCTGCCCGGGAACCTGGCAGCATGGCTTACTTCGCTTAACTGCACATGTAGACAACAAGATGAATGAACTTCGGCATCCAACCGAATCTGCTCACGCAAACCTGGGTCGTTCTGCCCACTCGCTGCGAGTGCACCAAGAACTCGGGCATGACCGAGGACAGCCTGCATTTACAGACATTGCCTATGCTACAGACTAGACTGTTACCTCTAGGCCTTGCTGGCTCGCTGGTTTCCCGTCACGCCAACGACTGCACAACCGATACTGCTTCTCCTATTGCCAACGCCTCCGTGAATGGAGCTATATAGTGAGCCACGGCAACCCAGCCCCTATCCAAATCTGAATCTGGCTCGTGGGTCTGAGCATGTGTGAGCTCTGTCCGTTGCGACACCTGTAGTCGCCGAAGCTCCGCGTCGATGTCGACAAAGCCCGCCTGCAGGCCGTGCTTGACAGCCGACTGAAACTGAACTGGCAGTGCTTCGCATGGAAATCCCAACACAAGTGCACAGTCGATTTTTCGCAAATTCCCAAGTCTTGCCTCTAATCTGCAGCCAAGCTCTACAAGCCGCTGATGCGAGGTTACGAAGCGATGAACCCAGTCTTTGTCGACTTCCTCACCTGGCCGGAGGATATCATGGGAAAGCTTATTACACATTGGGGACGTGCCTTCGCCAGAATCTAGATTTCTCGCCGAGACCTCCAAACGATGCCTCAAGGCAGTTGCCTGCGCCAGTCATGGTTGCATAGGCGGCGTATGTGGCTGGTAAGGCATGCCCTTGCTTCGGGCCTCAGCATGCTGCGCCGACCACCGAGCACCGCTGGCTTGCAAGGCAGAAGCCAGGATCGTCGGCTCCTGAGGCCATGTCAAGTCTAAAAGTCCAAAGATGCCCCTGCTCACAATCCAGGAGGGCAACAGTGCAAGGGTAGGATCCTGCCCGAAATCCAGTGTGGAACAGCAAGCCGTGACTGTATTATGCCAACAGCGCACTGCTCCTACCCCACGTGCATGCACACGGCCGTGCACTCCGGCCAGCGCTTCAATCTGCTCTCCACACACAAGGCAAGACATCCCAACAAACGAACGACATTAGCTAAGTAAAAATGGGTAGTGGGCATGCAATGGGATGGGGGGAATCACAGGGAATCAGCGAGAATGAGCAGGACACGGTGAGGAAGCAAAACATGCCTTGCGACAGATCAAGCAGGGATCGCTCCTTTCGATGTTGCCGTGATGGCACGGCGCGGATTCTCGAACGAGCGAGTTTAGTTCATAAAGGCATACAATGTACCGATGCCGTAAGCCAGCAGCTACTATGATAATACTGCTACCGGCCAAACAAGTAATCATGTTATACATATATACACATTGACAAACATGCGTCCAGAGACTTGTTTTGTGAATCCCACCAAAACAGCCCACAACTTCCGGCATCTGTTTGGCCATCTTGTTGCGAATGGTTTGAATGAAGATGTACCATTATCATATGCGTGAGTTTAGAGGACTAGCGACTATTGGCATGCCTCGTGCGCATGGGTGCAGAAAGAGAGCATGTTGCCTTAATGCACTGTTGGAGATTTCAGCGCTTGAATTTTGTACGGTGCAGGTTAATCATCAGGAGGGGAACATTCAGGGATCGTCAAATCAATCAAACGAAAACTGCGAAGCCTTGGCTCGGTATCGGAATACAACGACGTGATTCTACTGCTTCAGTTAAGGAGCTATGTAGCAATACTGATTGTCAATTTTTAACCCCGCCTCTAAAAAAATGTTTGGGAACTCCATCATAAGCCCCCCCTCAACAACGAATCCGAAAACTCAAAAACAATCCCACCCCTGATTCCTAAATCCTTGAGTCAGCTACCGTTAGCTGCTTGCCTCAGAAGTTGAGGCAAGGACCGAGCAAAGAGAAACTGCATTGTGACTGCAGAGAAAACGTTTGAGAGCTGCTGTTTTGTGAGCCCTCCCCAGAGTCGCAGAGAGAGACAGCGAGCCCAGTCAGGGGCGACGTCCCTTTCACCAGAGGGCTGGGCCGGCCAGGCTTGAAATCAATCGAGGGGGCTAAAGGCAGTGGTTCCTGATGTGCTGTGCTTGTGCATGAATGCAGCAAATCTTCTCGTTGCAGAAGCGTCAACTCGGCGTTTGGTTTTCGGTGTAGGAATTCAATACTTTAACCCCCGTTGGAAGTGGCTATACGCTTTCAAACTCACTGTGGAGCGCACGGGATGCGACAGCTGCAACCCGTGGCTTTTTTGCCTCCCGCCTGGCACGGGTTGAATCAGCAAGAAAGCACTAAGCCCAGTGAATGACCGGCGGACAAACAACTACGACACCGCGGCAGAGGGAACTTCATTCAGGTACATCACGGTACATCTGGCAACGCTTTGTCTAGTGGTGACTTCACGATAAACATCAAGATACTCCGGGCATGACACTCCGCGGCGATCTCTACATGTTCGCTCCTTTTCTGGAGTGGTCACAGTAGGATGCGAGGTTTGCCCCTTTTCCTATGCATCCAAATCACTGCGGCGGACTGCTGTGGATGCCCTGCCACACGATGTTGGTTTGCACTAGGACCTGCGACGGTGAACGTCCGACTTGCACTTACGCCACTTGCGGGACGGCATCGTCGCCGTTTTGCGGGGACTTGAATGTTGATGGCACTACGATCCTGACGCATCTGGTGCACGTGGCATCCCCGCAATTACTTCATGGTGGCTTCCTCTGCACCGCTCATCGTGATCGTTTTAGCCGAGATGGCCCACATGCAGTCGCCACCATCACCCCACAGCTCATGGAATGGTATCCAACCGGCTGCTCCAATCGTTCCTGTGGTCGGCACTTCGTTTGAGGAGGCCTGGAGGAGGGCGAGTTCTCAACAGTCGTGATAGTGTAACCTTGATTTTGAGGTGCTGAAATGTGTTGAATATGCCAGCTGCTCGACCATGAACGATCTGACGCTGTTTCCAGGATTCTATGGGTCACGAAGGTCCTGACCGCCCGCGGCCGCTACAACGTCATTTCGGGAAGAGCTGGCAGCGCTTGAGGTGCCCTGAGCTCAGGGCATGAATATCATTTGGCCGCAGTGTTGAAGGTCTTCAAAAAGGCGCAGTGGGGCTCCACTACTGCATACTGGTTTCGCACGGTTTCGCATGGTATGTGGATCAGCAACCACAGGGCGAGAGCGAGAGCGAGCGAAAGAGACCCACCCACCCGTACATATATACATCCACACCCACACCCACACCCACACACAAACAAAAAACACACGCACAAACACAAACAACACAACACAAGCTCAGCAGTGTGCAAACTTGCCGCATGCCAATCCGGTCCCGCATCACACTTGGCGGCGAGTTGAGAAGACGCCACATGGCGTCAATCAACTTGTCTACATGTGCGCTGCATTTCGGCAAGCTTGCATTGCTTCAGTTTGTGCCAGTCTCAAACATGCGTTCTGCCCACAACTGCTTATGCCTGCCGCACATCGTGGGTGGTTCGGTGTACAGCAGGGCACCTCGGGACCAGCGTGAAGACATCTGAGTTGCCAAGCACTGTAATTGCCATGCCTAAGCATTATCGACTAGATGAGAGTAGTACCCGTCCGTGACTTGGAAGCGGCGCGCACATATACACAGAAGATCACAGAAGTACAGCTGACTCTCTCTCTCTCTCTATATATATATATATTAATGTATATATATATATAGATAGGATTTAGACCGTCACTTCGCGTCTCGGCCTGGCTTCTGCCACTGCATCTTGCCTATTGAATTTCCTGCCCCCACCATCCCCCGCCCACCACCTCCCTCTTTGCTGCTGAATAGGCCTGCTCTACCTGAAGCATGTGAATCCGCTCGAACATGAAACTCATGCCAACCGCGCAAGCTTGCCTGACTGAAATGTGCGCTCTCTTTTTCTGTGCTCGGGTCTGGCTTTCCATGATACGGAGCAGTACTTCTCATGACCCTGGCACGCAGCTTTTCCCTGGCGACGTTGAAGTAGCTCATGCCGGCCGGCCTGGAACTAGCAGCATTCTCAGCTCTATGGGTAGACCTCAGAAAAATCTTTACAACCATCTCTGATGCGTAGACCCCACAATTTGTGCCTGGATTCCCTAGCCGGTTGCCCATGGCCATCTCTTGGCGCAACAGTTGAGTCCTTCACTTGTTGATTAGTTGAAAGGAGAATCCTGAAATCGGCTGTCTTCGAACGGGATCCAAGCTGTGACTCCAGACTCAATGTGGCCCGGGTCCATGTGGTCTAAGCTTCCGCTCGATAAGAAAAGCGTCAACATGCTCCGAGCTCTCTCTGCCATGGATCACAAACGGTGCGACTATATCTACAATGGTTCGCAACCGTTTCTCAGATCAACGAGCTTGCACGGCAAATGATGCGAAGTGCTCGTTTGACATTTCTGTTTTCTCGAGACCTAGAACCCTGCAAAACAGCAAGCTGTCAAGATGGAAAACGACGACGTGTCAAAGTCCAGAGTCAAGACACTCCGAACTCGCAGTGGATGGCAGCCACATGCTGCGGAGGCACCGCCACATGCCTGGCGAATGGGAAGGAAACGGGCTTTATCATATGAGATGGTGCGACTACATTGCCTTGCGAAGTCAATGCATTCTGCACGTCTATACCGCCCAGGGTATTCATGTAATGGGACTGCAGGCAACGCCGTCACGGGGGGATGTTACTCGAGCTTCATCGAGCTTCCTTCCGCAGCCTACACGCAGATGACAATGACAGCGCCATGCGTCCAGGCCTCTAGGTGTCGCCACCCATCTGGGACCGCATTTGCTGGATCAAATTCGCCTGAAGTTCCTGCGATGTACTGTACAGGTGAGGCTTGTCACGAGCCGGTGTTTCGAGATCGGACCACTCTGCGATCGTGATGATCTGCTGTGTGAACAGCGAGCTTCACGACTGAGCAGCGACAGGGACCGGAAGTTGCATCAGCTGATGAGTTGAGCTGTCGACTGCTACAGCACGCCAGCAGCTTTCAGCATCTTTCAGCGATTTTGATTCTTTTCGCTGGCTCCATTCAGCGGAAGCAGGTGAACCCCGGGCTTCGGATTCGATCAGGACGTGACTCATGCAAAAAGCCTTGCAGCTAGCAGTAGCACAAGCCCCATATCGCAACAGGACCTGCAACAGCAAATGTAACGGGCTTTTGGAGTCGATGAAGCAGCCCGCGAGCCAAACATTCACGAAGCAAGAGATCTCCTGGCGAATCCTCTGGGCACCCTCGTGCATTGCGCGTGCTGCGATCCTGCCAAGAACTGGCGCTTGACTGCATCTCACTATGGCAGCAGTTGCAAGATCCTGCAAAGACCGACTTTCGCTGAGAGTGGATGCTTCATCTGACTTCTTCCAGGTTTCGCTTGCACATTGGCGCCCGTGACCGAGGTCCTGCCATTGACTCCCATGCCGCGCTGCGGCTTGAAGGATCCGGCGGGGATGTTGCGCGGATTCTTCCTGAAGCACATTGGCATGAGCCATGCTTGATTGTGATTTCGCTTCCGCCGGTGAGCTCGTGCTAACTAAAGCCATTCCTTGGTAGGATATGTCTAGCAGCAGTCTACACTTGCCCTCACTAAGGCACTTGCAGCGTCTGTTTCTCCGATGTCGCTTCCTCGTCCCCCAAGGTGCGCATGGATACAAGCCATCCTGCTGGATAACCATGCTGGACCCCTAGGAAATGCTGTTTTACAGCATTGTCAACAATTGCTTCAGCTTTCGGGATGCGGCCTTTAGCACTGGCTAATGCACGAAGACCCACAATCCCAGTTCAAAATGCATTGCACACCCAGCCGCATACATGACCAAGCCTGGACGCCCCAACTTTGTTTACCCTCCATCTGTGCGGGGCGGTGCTGCATACTGCATGGTGCCATGCTAAGTATAGCCGGTGCTTCATGCACCGGTTCACACTGCAAGCTGCAGAAGAGCTGACTGCTGAATGGAAAACACTCGCACATGCGGCGACACTCCTAGTTGGACATCAAGGCAGTGACAACGAGCTTAACAACATGAGCCCCAGATGGGAAATATGAACTCGGCCGTAGAGATTGAGCTTAATGGGTTTTACTGCCTGGTGGCGGTAACTGTACATCCAAGCGAACCTGCTCAATAAGCAAGAAAGAAGTGTCACTACGCTCTGCATTCTCCATCGCACGAGTCGTTGTTGGTTCTGGGAAGACTGAGAATGGCAGCTTTTGCCAAGCCGCACCCGAAATGCCAATGGTCAGTGTTTGCTGAAGCTCAAAGGAATACGTGTTGATTTCGCTTGGCAGTGTGCTACACCAAAACTTTTCGGTCGCACAATTAGCCATAGCGCAGAAACATCAGCAGTCTCTGCCGAATGTCCTTCTCGGGCTTGCTGACAAACTCCTGCAAACCTAGATTGTGCAATGCCTGATTGAGTTTGGAATCATCGGCACTGTAGACCCAGCTAATGGTAAGGCCAACCAGCTGGCAGTAAGCCTCTCTTCCTTCGCTGATGTACTGCTTGACGCCATCGTGGAAGGTCTTCTTCTCTTTTTTACCCCAGTTCTGGTTGACGTGAAAGAACTTCTTCTTGCTTCGAACGGCTTCTTTCACTGAAGCTTCCAAGTCCCGCGTGGCCATTCGCCGCTTGGCCTGAAGCTCATCAGCCTGTTTTACTCGACTCTGGAACTCCTGCATGTCGGACGCACTGCTCTGCTGTATGGTTTTGTCAACGATCACATCGAGCGTCCGGGCAGCTGTTGGCTCTTGTTTGACCGTGGCACGGCAGACTGGACACAGAAAGTGCTTGTGAGCGAGCCACTGATCTATGCATTCCCGGCAGAACATATGCCCGCACTCTATGGAGGCAGCATGGACAATCCAGTCTCGGCAAATGGAACACACAAGCTCAGACTGAAGCTCCTTCAGATTAACAGCGGGCGTGCTAGCTTCCTTTGCAGGCTGTTGCGATTTTGCTTCCAGCTGCTTGAACTTGGCATCCAGCTCTGCCCGTCTGGCATCAAGATCCAGCCTCTCTTGTGCTACTCTTGACATGTGATCCTTCATCAGCTTGCTCATTTCCTGTTGCAACATGTTGTCGCCCTCTGCATCTGCAAGGTCCGTGAGCCCAGGTGCGTCGCACTGCTTTGCTTCTTGCCAAGCAGCACTGGTGGAAACATCCCCATCCTTGACAGTTGCTGTAGCTTGGCCCACAGCAACTGCATCTGCTTGGGGTTCCCTTTTCCTTTTGCCTGTTCTTTCTGGAATCTGACGATCTTTCTCCTCAAAAATGTACTCGAAGACAGGTCGGTCGTTCAGCTTCCTGACACGAAAGGTCTCTCAATCTACTACTCGAGACAAGCGCTTGAGCTAGCTGTTGACGTGAACATCACGGCGTCTGCTGTCTCAGAACTTCAATGGACTACAAGTAACTACAGGCACGCACTTCGACAGAACTCGAGCTCACCCTGCCCAGCCACGCAGAGTATTGCGTGTTTACAGAGTCGCGCCGGAACAGAAAATGCGACTTCCCCAAAGCGATTGCTTTTGTCTTGTCTTGCCCGCACCCATGGCCATGAACCGATGCAAAGAAAAGATTTCATAAGCACGACTCTCGCATGCCACGTCTCAAACCACCATTATGCAATTCATGGACTGCCTTGATTTGCGCGGAACACTTCACGTTCACCACAAGTGCCACTTTGACCATGGCCAGGACAAGAATTTCTGGACGCACATCTTTATCCTGCGCTTGTGTGCCTTCAACGGCTTGCAAGTGCATTATTCATTTCTTGTAACCTCGAAGTTTGTATCCACGACGGAGCTCGTCACGGCTCGTCGTGACCCTGCAACGACGGCCGACTTGCAGCTGACAGTGAAATTTAAACGGAAGAACTGGATTGTCCCTTGGCATCCTACACATGAAGTGACTAGGATCACTGGTCGATACCTCTCCGCTTAAGTGCTGTATTTTCGAGAAGGAGGCTGCGTCCTGCCGAAACATATAGAGTCACCATGTCTCAGGAGCTTGGGCGCATTGAGCTTCATGTCGTTGACATGGATGCCGTTCAAGCTCTTCTCATCTGTCAGGACCCAAATGCCTGGTTGGCATCGCAATGCCAGGGGCAGCTCGCAGACAGCTGTGAATTTATTGGGTCTGTGCGATGTGCGGGTATGGAGAAAGGGGAAGCATTGCCGCATGCAAGCAAATCCCTAGATCAGGATAGTTTCTAACGAAGACATCGTGTAGAATGGGATTCCATGATGGAACGAGCCACTTGGCTCGGATTCTCCGGCAACTATTCAAGAACTGGGAGTCTTCTCGCAGAGAGGCTGAAAAACTGTGAGAACTGCTAAGTCTGCCTTGAGGACAAAGGTCAGGGAAAAGGGGTTCTGAACAAGTAGTGCAACACGCATCAAATTACTATGGTCCTTAAACTCACGTGCCTTCAGCATCCACGAGTCTAGCATGGCAACGGCTGATCATCTGCGGAACTTCTGGGCAGTCCATGACCACCGCGCACATGTCTGGCTGTCTGCCAACCTTCATCTCCTTGCCCGGAAAGAGGTATATCACCTAACTGTGCTTGGAGAGCCATAGGGGAAGTTAGCAGTGTTGCATTGATTCTTGATGCTGCTATCCATGCTAACGGAGACATGCATCGTGCTGCATCCCAGCAAACTCGGCTTCCAGGCCGAGGGAGCTCACAAGGCCGCATGCAATCGCCCCCCCTCCCTTTCCCACCCCGCCGAACAAAATCTCCGATGTGAGAAACCCTTCACGGATCAACAGTATGGGTATGTGGCCGAGGAAAGGGCAGCATGGCCGATCTAGACCTCGTAGTGGTGCAATCTTTTCGAGGGTGCCATCGGGTCAATCGGATCATCACGATGACACAAGGCTCCAGGCTTTCGATTTCAATTTCGGTGCCCTCCCCAGTCTTGAAAACGAGCCGTTCTTAATGCAATGAAGATCTGTGCTCAATCCCTTCTGCTCCTGTGGGCTAAGCCGGGGAACGATGCGAGGGCTGTTAGGCTGTAACAGCAAAGGTACGGAAGGAGAAGTGAAGCGGCCCTTGGGATGTCCGCTTGCATCTTGCAGCCACGGCAAAGAAGTGATGGAATTCGTGCACTGCTCACCTGCGGGGCAATGCTAGGGCCACGGAAGTAGAGATTGGCCGAGGACAGTTTTGGAGTCGGCGGCCTGATATCCTCGCTTCACAGGTCTCTTCCAGAAGATCTTTGCGCACTAGCCTTGCTGCAGCGCAGCCGTCTGCGGCGCCTTTGGCAGCCTGGTCGGGAGATCTCTGAGTCACGATGCAAGTACGCGTAACACCTTGGAAGGTCGCCTTCACGCAGGACTCACAAGCAGACTCACGCTGTCAACGAGTCAACGTCTCCAAGGCCTTGCAGCCTTCGGGCTGCGCTTCGACGCTGGACACTGGTGCACGAGCCATCTCCGGCTTTGAGTCGTGCTGGTCCACAAGAGTATTTAATGACCCCGTCTACATGCTTTCATCTAGCATGCACGGATATTCCGGCACACCTCTTCGTGGTCAAGCCTAGGAAAAGTTCGAACACTCATGAGCAGTGAGAACACTACAGTCCCTGGCGAACCAAATACTGCAGGCTGCGGGCCTGGACAGTTGCTAGACGGCTTCAGGCATCGAGACCCTTCGAGGGCATCAGTGGTGGGGAGCCATTCTCGTAGTCGCGCATGCTTAAGATCGCTACACCGTGACCTGGCTCGTTACTGGGCCCAAAGCTCCAACTTCTGAAATGCTGCGAGTTGTGTCTCGTTTCGCCGGTCACACTGCGAGAGTGTTTGCACGAAATCGTCAAAAAGGAAGCGTTTGTGGAGCTGGATTCCGGGCAGAAGTTCTTTTCGCGTGGGCGACGGACCTGCATCTACGGGCAAGAGCTTCAATGTTCAAGTTCTTTCCGGCCACAGTGCAACACCGGTGGTCATTGATTACGCACTTGGAATAACACGGTGCTTTGCAAGCCCTTCCGCAACGCTTCGGCTGGCTGGCATCGCCTGTACATGGGTTAATCCTCGCACTAAACTCACTAGAGGAAACTCTAACCCCTAGTATGAATACTTGACATCTTGTAGCAATGGGTCCCGGAGAGTCGCAACGCAGCCGAGTGTCTTCTGTCTCGGATTTGGGTCCTCCGTGTCGCTGCTGCTTTCCTCACCTTACATGTAGACAGCAGGACACTTACCCATTTACAGTGTACCATGCAGCTCAAGCACTTGACAGGCTGCATAAGAATTCAAACAGCAGGCAACAGCTACTATGGTTCTCAAACACTTCTTTCGGCCGGAACCTTCTTTTCCTATCCTTGCCTCGTTGGGTTGATCTTGGAGCTGATCTTGTATCTCTTCCCGAAACCTCCCTTTCTGACGTAGCCCCGCATCTTCCTTCTTGTCTGAAGTCTGCCACCATCCCTGGAGTCGTTGTTCCCGCTTTGTCGGCATCCTATTGTTTTAAGGGTCTTAAGCCGCAGTCCTGCGGCTTCGCTGAAGGTGTGTTCTTCAGACACTTCGCTTTGGGCTCAGGTATTGTTCAGGAGCACAGCACCTGCAGAAGTGCAGATTTGCGACATGTGAACTCGCTCGCTGCCACGGCCAGCTAAGCATTTCCACCGGCAGTCAATATCCACAGTCTGCGAGAATGGATTAGACAGGGTGAGGGTTGCTTTCGCGGCATTCCATTGCAGCCAGTCGACATAGTCTCTCCCCAGCCACGATCTTCTTCCTTGGCACAGGACATGTCATTCCTTCGAAAAAGCCGGTCTTTAAGCATCCATGCTAACTCTCTGCAAAGCCAGCGGCACCATGATCATGACTGTCGCAGATGGCTTCACTGCATCAGCCAGCACCTTCGAAAGGTCTTTGTAATACCTGAAAACGATGAGCGGCATCAGCACACGAACACGAAGGTGCATGCGGTGTATTCCATGCTCGACTGTCGGCCTGTGCTGCTTGTCCTCATCCCACTTGGCCAAGACCTCACAAAGCTTGGACTCCGCAGCCTTGTCCAGTCGGTACCTTCCGTGGGACCCGCGCACCTAAGAAACTTCCATGTGTCGGCTTCAGTAGTCGTGCCTCTTGACAAGTTTTTTCATCCTTGGGTCCTGGAGCGGTGGGAGAGACAGAGAGAGGCACTCCCTTGCGTTTTGGTTTATATACGGGGGTCCTTATGCTGGCCTTCTGAGGTGGGCCAACAAGCTTGTGTTCGGTTGGAATGATGTGTAAGGAAAGTATCAGACTTAAGTCAGATTCAAGAGATTTCGATTGACTGCGTCAGATGGTGCTGTTTCCACGGTGCCCGTGTGTCACTTATGACTGCACATATCCTCAAGACCTGATCGTGCACACTGCCACGATTGATCCACTCGATTTTGTCATTGAGATTGTCTGAGTCTGGGTATTTAATTGCACTTTAGCGTCTGCAAGTCCGTCTGCCTGTCTGTGTGGCACGAGCACTCCGTCCTGGACAACATCTGCAGAGTCTGCAGGGCCCTCGGATTGCCTCGCGGGCCATCACAGGGGAGAGCTTCGAGGCATGCATCTTTGGCCACAACTTGCGGAAGTGCTGACCAGACCAGGCAGCATCCTCTGACCTGAAACGGCAGGGCTCCAAGCCTGGCGGTGCTGCTGCTATTCAGCTGGTCCTCCTTGTCCGCGCCAAGGAAATGGAAGAAAGCCACATTGTCACGCTAGGCGCATGGGCCCGTGCTTTAAAGAACATCGCAAAAATAACAAGCAACCTCGGACACGGAAATACTCTGATATTCAGTGCTCCTCAGCTGTTTTTGCTCTTTTTTTCCTGAGCTTGGCTGACATGTGCATGAGAGTTCCTTCGGGCAATGGAAAGCACCTGGGGCCGGAACCCCATGGCCCTTCACATGGCCTTCCAGAACTGCGTGAAGGATGCAGACACATCATTTCGGAATGGGTGGAGATTCGCAGCTTCCAGACTGGCCTGCTTGCTCGATGCTCGGCGATTGTCTGCAAATGGATCCGCAGGGGTTAGCCGGCTAGCATCTGGCATTGAGCACCTACTCCACTCAGAGTCCTTTGGTTGTCTTGCACTTCCGCAGCTGGCAGATGAAGTTGATCTAAGTGGTTGTCGAAAGTAGAGTCATGAAGGAATGGCTCGCTGCCTCCAGCTCACACTCAAGTGCAAGTTGTCTGGCTTCTGCCTGGTTGTGCTGTTTCTGCAATGCTCCGCAGACACATATTGATCCGCATCGGTGGTCTGTCGAAGGGGAATGCACTTTGTGCTCAAGCCTTCACAGCTCGTCCATGCAGGCATTTTTCGCTCTTCCCACGTCTCCGCCTTGAGCGGACTGCTATCACGCGAGAACTCGCAATACACGGGACTTCGCACTTCTGCGAAGTACTCTACGTCTACGTTGCCCTCTTGTGGCGCACTGTAGCGATTTGGTCGGTTGCCAAAATCGGGCCAGACAGCGTGTTGAAAGGAGCACAGCCACCGCTTTAGACTCAAAGACACGCAGACGTCGTTGCAGCACCAGCCGACATATCAGCGGTACTAGTGGCATCGATGCCATCATCATTATCATCATCATCACCAACACCATCACCATTATCATCACCACCACAATAAGCCATCATCATCAGTGCCGTCATCATCATCAACACCATCATCATCATCATCATCATCAGCAGCAGCATGGGGCCATCATCAGCATCTTCATCACCGTCACCACCATCGTTATTAATCATCATTACGACAACCATCAGCATCGGCATCATCATCACTCTCTATTTGGCCAGCCGCACACACGAAAGAGTGAGCGCGTGGGGGCAGTCAAATGCGACCGTCCTCATCATCATAATCATGATCATGATCATATGGTCATCACTGTCATCACCATCATCATGACCATGTCACCATCATCACCACCACAATCATCATCGTCATCGTCATAATCGACATCAACAGCATCAACATCGGCAGCATCGGAGTCAAACTCATCATCATGGACCAACTTTGACAAGCTGGGGCATCAAGCACTACCACCACGCTATACCACGCTTCTCATCTCTGCACTGCTGTGCCGTCGGCATGTCGGATCCAGGCTGATGCTGCGAATGTGACTTGTAAAGCCTATCTTGTTGAACACGGTGTCCGGCAAGCACTTGGGGCCCAGCCGCCCCGCTGCCGCTACTCCGGAACTCCCTCAGCAACGTCGTACTGCACTTGGCCATTCCACCATGCCTGATGCACGTCCCTCGTACTCTCGATTGCCTCGCAGACTAGCTTTCAGGCTTCGCTTGACGCGCAATCCTGTTCTGCCGTCTTTCTGGGCACCAATGGGTAGTGACGTGCAGTGGGTCTTTTGCAGCTTCGCCTTCCCGCGGCAGGTTCAGCCCGTGATGCCCATTCCACGTCGACCCCTACACTAGCTCCAAATGTCTCCGAACTCCCATTATTTCAAGCAACGTGCACGTTGTTACTGCCTAGCTGGCTTCCCAAAATATTTTCGTTTGCTTCGTTGACCACGCTGTCTCCCGTGCCGGTAGCCGCTGTAGCCTGTTCGGCAAAACTATAACCGGAGACCTGGCAAGCGGTTGCAGGGTCAGTGTCCAGAACGAGCTCTGCCGGCAAGGACACGCGCTAGGACCAGTTGCGAAGGTTGACTCCAGGTAGCAAACCGAAAACAAGTATTTTGATTTACCAAGCGGCATAGTCCCAGCTCGGCGAGGTGGACGGCCGCTTCGCTGATCGATATGTCTGACAGGAGCAGGACTTTGGATCATGTTCACAACGTGCAGCTGAAACATCATTCCCTCCCTGTGGTGTCGACATCAAGAACACTCTCGCATATCGGCCACTTCCGCTCGCCTGCCACATTCTCCTCGGCAGGATTTAATTTCCCATCGCCGATTCGCAATTGTCTATTGTGCTCAGCAGAAATCACGACTGACAGTGGCTGAAGGCGCCAAAATGCGCCAAAGATCTGCAGCACTGGCTCCACTCGTCGAGTGCGGTACCTGTGCCAAGGCGCAGAAACGAGAGCGGCCTCGACCCTGGCAACTTTCAGCTCCGCGCCGGTGGCGAAAGCGCCAGGCCATGACCTCCTGATCAGAGCCGACAGGCTTCTAGAAAAAAACCCTGCTTTTGGGCCAAGCTTTCCTCTAGGACCATCCCACTGGCCCGTGAAGTCACACTCGGCAGCAGTCGTCGTGTACCAGCACCTTCAAGTGACACAGTACAAATGCCCCGTGCCGACATGACTGCCACTGCGCCGTACCTACTTCGCGTATCCATTGAAAAGACTTTTGGTCTGGGACTACGGATGTTGTTGGCCATGGCAGGTCGCCTCGGCCCCGACTTGCTCTGAGCGCACACAGCACAAGCACAGCATGGGATGCCGAGAACTCGTCATATGTCTTCGTCGTCCCCTGCACTAAAAAACACGAGCCAATGCTCCATTGCTAGCACAGCCTGCCTGCTACGCGACCGCAGATTTGCCCAGCATCGCTGACCGAGAAGTTGAGGCCAAACACCTCTTCAGGGCACCGGCCCGTCACTGCCACCCTTTATCCACATGCACTCACATGTATGCAACATGCATGTTGTACAAGCTTCCACTTGGGCTACCACTCCACTGGGTCGACGTTCCGTGGAGTCCCGACGTTGGAACCTGATTTCATGCAAAAACTTCCGATCCACCCTACGGCCCTATATTGGCCCTATGGGCCTACAGAATCTTTCAGTCCGGGTTGCTTCCGTCTTTGCTCCGGCTCAAGAGGGTCTGAAATAATCTGGTCCTTCTTCCACCTTTCTTGAGCCCGGCTTGCACTTGACACGGCAATGAAGACGCGTGTGACACATGTAAAGCGCCGCCTTGCCATAGGGGTCTTCGGTGCTTCAAGTCTTGACACCGGCGCTGCGCGTCGACCAAGGCGCTGTCGACGGCGAAGCCAGTCCTTTTCGGACGCTGTTTTTGGGATGTCGAGCGATCACCGCAAAACCAACATGGAATTAAGAAAAGAGCCCCTACCAGCGCGTATCCTCCAAAAGAACGCTCTCTGGCAAGGTGCTACGGATGCCTGGCATTCCCAGACGGAACCAAGTGCCGGAACATGTCCTGAGGATCCTGAGGGCCCATCACTCCGAAACGAAGGGATCCTGAACAATGTCGTCCAAAGAGGCCATATCCTCCCGCTGTCTGCTAAGCGATGGAAGCGGAGCTGTGGAACATGCAGAGCAGTCTAGGGACCTGAAGAGTCCAGCTCTCCGTCTGCATCGTCTGCGAAGATGCTAAGGATTCTAAGGGTTCGGAGGGATCCTCAGAGCATTCTCCGGCACCCGTGCCCATGTGGATCAGTTTCGAAGGGCCTTGGGCCTTGCAGCTGTTCCTCAAGGCAGCCCCGACCCTCCGGGCTGGGAGTACTGCTTGCCTCTGCACTCGTTTCGCAACATGGTGGATACCGGCTCGTCAGTTGGGCTGCTTCACTATCTGCTATCTGCTCTCTTCTTCTGGTACACTGACTGGAGTGCTACTGGTAGGGCCCTCTCCTTTCCCTTCCATTTCTCCAGGAAGTCGATGATCGCGTCGCGCAGTTGCATCTGACAGTGAATGCAGCCCATGCCGAGAGCATTGCGTCTGCACCCTGACTGACACTGTGAGCACACAGAGGACACGCAGCCACATCAGGCAATCGACTGGCTATCTGCCTCTTCCGAATTCAGCTTTTCCTTCGGCAAACGTTCGAAGAACGCTTCCTGCCAAACACTCCGCCGCCCTCAGAAATTGCAAAAGGTCTCAAATCAGGCGAGGCTCTTGCTGATGCAACGCATAGCCTTCACAGGGAAAATGCCAGGAATCCTAGACTCTAGACTGAGACGGGTGCACTCATGCGACATCCGTCCACAGCTCGCAAGGTCTTTGAATCGTCTGTGACGAACCACAAGCTGCAAGATGTGAGATGCTGTGCTACGGGGTTGGATGCAGATTCGCAGAATTGCATTGGTCCTTCAGAGAAGGCATGCTCCGGCCACCACTTCAGCCAACTCTCGCGTCTGCGAAGGCCTGCATGCTGCAGTCTGAGGCTGACTTGCCGCGCTCTCTGCTGCAGTCCTGGTTCTTTTTGCTCTGCTGGTTCTGCTGCGGACTCCGGTTGGCAGTCACAGGGAGGTGGAAGCCGGACCCACCCAGCTGAAGTCCTCTGCAAGCGTGCTCGAACCAACGCCGGTTCTCTCTGTTGGCGTTCCCAAATCATGGGCTTCGGGGGGGTGGGTCTCTCCTTTCCCCACAAGAACATCGCGGACCTTCAAGTGGAGACACTCTTTAGTGCTGTCGTCCTCAGCATGTCGCGAAGATGCGATCGTGTCGAGGTTCTTCTGGCCTGGCAGTTCAATGTCCCGTTCAAAAACCATTGTCACTGCAAGGAGATCTCTTGGAACATAGTACTTAGTAGCCAGCCCCCTCTGCTGTGGCAAGCATGTCATACCATGAAAAAGTTGACAGCACATTTTTGCAGAATACAACACTTGGAAGATCGAAAGGATATGAGATTTCACGATCCGAAGTCCCTTCTGATTCCCAAACCCAAGAACATGGAAGCACAGAAAAGTGCGAACAGGTCGCCGACACCATCTCTTCGCCATGGCTGCTCTTCCGACCTGGACAGCTCACATGGCGCTTTCACCTCAAATACGCCAGATGTGTTCTGGCCTGGGACGAGAGCCGACACCGGCGGCTTAGGCTCAACAAACTCCTGCAAGCATCCGCTAACCCTGCCCTCACTTTGTAACTCAGCCCCACCTGGTTCGTCGTGGCCGTGGCTGGACTGCAGCAGAAGCAAATCATTTCAATGAACCAACCCCCACAAGGAGGCAAGCATGATCCACCGCGCAAGATGATTGCCCAACTTGGATGTCCAACATTAAATAAAACGTACACGCATGTCGAGAAAAACCTGGGTGGAGTTTCCAGGTCTATGCGAGGACCACTGCGGCGCAGTCACGCCCTGCATATTCGCACCACAACTAATCTGAAGGCGAATCTTGACTCTGTAATCTTTCAATCGGAAAGAACATCTGTCAAACCACTGATCAACCTGATCATTAAATCACTAAAGGTGCCCGCGCAGGGCAACGGGAAACATGCAGGGAGGTGGCAAGTTCAGGCCAAGTTCCTGAATCCCTGAAACCTCAACTCGCGCCCTCGCTCGCTCTCCTCGCTCTCCCCGCTCGCGCGAGCGCTGAGCGCTGGCTGGCTGGCTGGCTTGCTTGCTAGGGTATGAAAGCAGATTGCGGTGGGCATTTCCGTTCCCCCGGTATGCGACTTAGCAAAACTCCCGGCTCTGGACCTCAAGGGGCCGAGAGTTGGCAATGGCCGGTGACAAATTGCCCCATACCCACAAAGTCGCTAACTGACATCGTCTTGCTGGCCTGTACGTGTGGAAAGGAGCGCTGGAGACAGCCGATGGCTAAAGAGTTAAAGTCTTAAGAGCTAATGTGCAGCGCATCAGGCTTGAACGGAGTGGACTTCGTCTGGGCACGACGGAAAAGACACTGTGCCCCGCATCTGGCGGACACACCAGGGAAATCGGTCGGTTCGTTGCTCTGCAAGGTCAACTTATTTTCCCTGCCACATGAACGCTGAGCGCAACAGCCAAGCTGGCCTTGTGCCCTCGGCCCTGGCGCTGCATAGTGCCTGCCAAGTCCACTCCGCAGAGACTTTTTTGTCTGTCGACGAAGTGCGCTTGCAGCCGGTTGGGGGGGCTCTCGGCAGAATCGCAGAGAGAATCCGTCTCGGCAATGTCAAGAACGCGGTATGGCGACGGAGAAGTCGACTTATCAGTGAAAACATGCTGGGAAAATCTAAGAAGACCACTTGCGAACAGAGCGATAGCCCCGAATCACCCGAAGCGTCTGCGTCGACTTCCACATAGCACATCGCCGGACGAAGCCCGCAGCTTCCAGTGTCCTCCGGCCTACACTTCGTTATGCGCATATAGCAGACTATGTTGGACAAGCATGTGCAATAGTTTACCTTCCTTGGGAGGCGAGTGTGCGCAGGTGTCGGGGTTGCAGGAAACGGAAGTGGCCTGTGCCGGTGCCTGTGCTGGTGAGAGTAAGTTTATGCTGCACAATCGTATCGAGCGCGATCAAGTGCTCCCACCCGCCCTCGTGGCTCTGACTATGTAACCTACACTGGTCCTGTGCTCCTCCACATTGTCACATAGCCTTGGCACTAACTCCTTTAGCTCATCCAGGTCAAGCTATATACCGATCTCCCCCGATCAGGCACCGGAAGTACCAAGACCAGCTGTCGAGAGATGTCCACGAAAGCCTTTGTGATATGTGCCGCGGCGTTCGGAATCGCGATCGGTCCGAAAGTGTCCGCAGTCTTGCTGTCGAAAAGACCGACATGTCGAAGATGCTTTGCGAGCCTGCGCAAGCTTCGCAGAAGCCTCCTTGCGGGGAAATGGATTGCACGGAGATGCTTCGGGTTCAGGAATGCAGTCTGCAGCAATTATCGATTCGAGTGCTACATGATCGCTTGCTGCCCTGAGCGGTTGCGCCTCACTTTCGCTGGCTTCAATCAAAGCCTGCACCCATGCTTTTACAGCTGGTTGTCGACGGGGGTTCTGGGAAATTCAAGGCGGCTAAGGCGGGACCGCAGAAGCGCAAGTCGGGAACAAGAAGGCAAGAGTCATGGAGTACTGAGCTTGCAGACTACCCGGACAGACTTCATTCTCTGCAGGTTTCCTGACTTCAATGTGTCCCGACTTGGCGAAGCTCCTGCCCGCGACTCTCGTGGACACCCCTCGCAAACCTGGCTTTAAACAACCAACATCAAACAAAGCCTGAAACCGTCGCATCCGAGCGCCTCCAGCTCATGCACCTTCCTTAAGATGTGTTCCGCCTCCTGCAGATCTCGTTGAAATGCAGTGGGCGAGCAAACCCATGCACGCACCCACTCCCTCCACCACATGCAGCTGCGGCCCGGGTCCTGCAACTTATTGCTGAGGCGCGCTGCACTTAGGGCGGCCTTTACGTCAGCCAAGACTTGGCGTAAAGTCCTGCAGATGGCATGACATCCGCAACTCTACCAAAGCACCGCCGTCTCGTCGTGCAGTGCAGATGCCGTCCAATTCTGTTTGCAGGGCTCAGGAGCGAAATCAGGGTCCGAATTCTACTCAGGCATCAGATCTTGCAGACCTCATCCCTCCAGCTCCACTAAGCAGCAGCAAGCCGCAACGGCGCATCTTTGGTTCTACGAACGAGAATCCGATAGCAGAATCCTCGAGGGCCTTCCTGCATCGTCCAAGACGGTCGTTTGCTGTTTCGAGTCGCGCTGCCGCGGTGGAGGCTGAGCCCAGAGTATGACCTCACATGTGCGACATGCGATGTCGAAGCTACGTTCTTGATGTTTGGCCGGTCCGGCTGCCGACTTCAGTGTAGAGACTCACTTCAAGAAATGGAGCGCCCACATGTCCTGGTGTCAATGCGCTTTTCACCCGAGTCCGCCTGCAGAACGAAAGTAGCTGGAAAAAGCGTAGACCCGGCCAGGGCAAAGCTTAGCAACCTCATAAGGGATCCGCCAGCCCTTGACAACACCTTCCCAAGCCGAAGTTGATGTTTGTTGAAGAAATCTGCGTTAGATTCTTTCGTTGCCGGTGTTGGCAAGTGGTGCAATCAAGCAGCCTCCCCGTCGTGTGCTTGGCACTGCTCGATACGCTCAAGTCTGTAATTTTTTTATGTATGTCAATGTATGTGTGTGTATGCACATATGCATTTGTTGTCTTTATGTATACGTGTATAATATACAGTATATATATATACACTTATATGGAAAAATGCACACGTACATATATCTGTGGAGGGGTCCTTTATGTATCATTTGACCCGGCTATTGGGTGCATGATATGTACTACACAT